TTTGAGAGATGAAATATAAGCAAACAAATAAAATTTGCTGCAATATTTTTTATTTTAGAAAACACACAGGTGAAAAGTTCTCAAGCTGTTGAGGCAGTTCAAACACAGCAGGGGGCGCTCATAGGTTACCAGTAATATAAGGAAGAAATAGCACTTTACACAGTATATTTTTTCTCTGGTGACTTACAACTAAACCCGATTATCTCATGCCCCTTCTTTCTGATAATTATCTCTGGCTTAATTTCCAGCAATTTTTTTAAAGTGCATTCTTTGCTTTGCCACTATGTCTCTTCATGAACTGAGAACTTACTTCCTGATTAGATAATGGTAATGACAGTGGTAACTGATCGTTATTGGTCACCTGTTCTTTTCTCTATATATTTTTCATCCAGCAAATGATTTAATGATTGAATACTGATGACAGTATCTTGGTTGGACACTGAGCTTATAGAGATAGGCAAAATGGACACGGCCCACATCCACAGAGATATAGAGTATAGGGAGATACAGAAAACTGTGCAATAAACATGGGTAAATAATTATGAATTATGATGAAAAGTAAAAGGAATGAATGGCCCCCTAAAGATTGTAATAGAGACAAGAGTTCTCTGTTTTGAGTCTTTTATATTGGGTTGTGAAGAATCCATGTAAGCCAAATAATGTGTGAATATATTTAGGTTATGGAGAACTTGGCTTCCTCAAAAGGTTAAAGAAGCATTTGTGTGATGGGAGGTCTGTGAGCAGGATCAGAGGAATAGGACATCAGGTTGGACAGGTTACAGAGGTATGTCCATACATCATGTGCCATGGTCATAGTCACTGTTCTTCATCCTAACAACCTAGCGAAATTTGGGAAGTATTTCTTTTTTTTTTTTTTTTTTTTTTTTTGACAGGCAGAGTGGACAGTGAGAGAGAGAGACAGAGAGAAAGGTCTTCCTTTGCCATTGGTTCACCCTCCAATGGCCGCCGCGGCCGGCGCGCTGCGGCCGGCGCACCGCGCTGATCCGATGGCAGGAGCCAGGAGCCAGGTGCTTTTCCTGGTCTCCCATGGGGTGCAGGGCCCAAGCACCTGGGCCATCCTCCACTGCACTCCCTGGCCACAGCAGAGAGCTGGCCTGGAAGAGGGGCAACCGGGACAGAATCCGGCGCCCCAACCGGGACTAGAACCCGGTGTGCCGGCGCCGCTAGGCGGAGGATTAGCCTAGTGAGCCGCGGCGCCGGCCGGGAAGTATTTCTTTTTTAAGATTTATATTTATTTGAGAGGTAGAGTTATAGAAAGTGAGAGGGAAAGACAGAGAAAAAGGTCTTCCATCTGCTGGTTCACTCCCCAACTGGTTGCAACAGCCGAAACTAGGCCAATTGGAAGCCAGGAACTAGGAGCTTCTTCTAGGTATCCCACTTGGGTGCAGGGGCCCAAGGACCCAGGCCATCCTCTACTGCTTTCCCAGGCCATGCAGAGAGCTGGATTTAAAGTGGAGTAGCTGGGACTCGAACCAGTGCCCACATAGGATGCTGGCACTGTAGGCAGAGGATTAACCTACTGGGTCACAGCACCGGCCCCAGGAAGTTTGGGGTACAATGTTCTCCATTCCTTTGAATGGCATCACTACACATCCATTTGCAACAGACTACTAGGTGTCATTTTTGATATTTCCTTCTCCTTGATACATCATATCCAACCCATCATCAAATCTTATCAATTTCACCTCCAGTTGTCTTTTTTTAAAAAAGATTTATTTATCACTTGAAAGTCATAGTTAACACACAAAGAGACAGAGAGGCAGAGAGAGAGATCTCCCATCTGCTGGTTTACTCCCCAGTTGGCCACAACGGCTGAAGCTGCACTGATTCGAAAGCCAGGAGTCAGGAGCTTCTTCCGGGTCTTCCCAGGTGAACGCAGGAGCCCAAGGACTTGAGCCATCTTCCACTGCTTTCCCAGGCCATAGCAGAGAGCCAGATCAGAAGCAGAGCAGCTGGAACTCGAACTGGTGCCCATATGGGATGCCAGCACTTCAGGCGGCAGCTTTACCCGCTATGCTGGTCCCTCTCATTTGCTCTCATTAGCTTTCCAGTTATTTGGCCTTCTTTCATTGCTGGAGCACAGGGTACCTGGCACCAAGTTTTTGTAAATACCATTCACTCACCTATAAATATCTCTCTTCATTTTAATCTACTGAATTTTATCCTATTTAACCTCCTTTCCATTTTTTTTTTCATTTTTCAGCTCATCTTATTTCTTTAGGAAATCCTCCCTGATGATCTCATAGAGGTACATTTGTTAAAGGTTATAAGAGAGCCATGCTCCTTCCTCTCTCAAAACATAATTATATATTTTTGTGTGATTAATGAGTGGATAACATTCATGTACACTATCTAGATGAACTTATATTCTCATAGATGCTTAATTTTCAAGAAATGAAAGAAGGCTGTCTTATTGTCAAGTTAGATCTCTAGTATTAAGTTAAGCACTATATTCTCCAGCCACCTTGTTGAGCAGATTGCAATGACATGAAAATTCAGAAGTATCTCTGATTTCAGCACTTTACTCAAGCTATTCGGTATAATAATGGCTTTCCCAAGGCAGGTTAAGACCTACATAAGCCAGCAAGGCATATGATACTGCCAACTTTGAGTGTCTGACACAGTTGAACACATGGTTAAGAGCTACATCTTTAAAGACCAATCTTAGACTTGTAAAGAATGCCAGCTAATCTATAATATTTTAGAGGAAATTAGTTGTAGACTGTGGATAATATAGGGGATTGCGAGGAAGAATGGATTGCAAATGGCAAAGGAATATATTTGGCAATGATTGCTGTGTTCATGACCTTGATTGTGTGATATTTTTATGATCAAATACACGTGTCAAAACTCTTCAAAGACATACTGTAAATATGTGCAACTTATTGTACATCAATTATCTCTCAATAGTTATAAAATCATTCAACTGTTGTGATATATAGATCTAATTTTATAAATGACATGTCAATTTTGGAAAATAAAGGAGCTTCACATTTTGAAGGCTTTCTCACAGTATTTATTAATATTTAAAAATATACCCTCTGAGCTATCAATTTAACTTCTGGAAATCTTTCCTAAAGTAATAAAAACACTAGTGCCTAAGTTTATATGGATAACTATTTTAATTGTAGCATCCTTTGAAGAGATGATAAAGAGTCAATATAAATGTCCATCAATAGGAAATCTATAAGACCTTGAATTGTGTGCTACTGGGTAGCTTTTGCTAACAATTTCTATTGATTTACCTTAACTAAATATCATGAGATAATGTTTCAAAAAAGTAAGCTGCAAAGGAAAGTGCACATCCAAATCCTTCCCTATATGTGCATGTGTTTGGATCTGTTTGAACAGATTGGTTTCTCATATGGCCAGTTTGGAGCCAATGGTGCTAGAAGGGGAGACTGTTAACTTACACATATTTCCATGTTTCCCTCACATGATAAACAAAAGGTACTATAATTTTTATTCACTTTATTTGAAATGGTGTGGGAAAGAAAGAGAGAGGAGAGTCTTCATTCTGCTGGTTCATTTCCCAAATGCCTGTAATAGTTGGGGCTAGGCCAGGACAAATCCAGAAGCACAGAACCCAAACTGGGTATCCCACATGGATGGTAGGGATCTAAGTACTTGGGCCATCACCTACTGCCTCTCAAAATGTGCATTAGTGCGAAGCTAATATCACAAGCAGAGCTGAGATTAGAACCAGACACTCCTACATAAGATGTGGGCATCCCAGTTTAATCCAATCCCTGAACCAAAATTCACTCCTTTAATAATTTTTGAAGAGGAATTTTGAAAATAAGTTTTTCTATTAGCACTTAGTAGAAAATAGTTCCTCTTTCTCTCAAAAATAATTTAAAAGCAATAGAAAGAAACTCTATACCAGACAGTATAGAAATGATCCCTGAGATTGACATTTTGAGCTTGCATGATTGTTTACAGCACTTGTCTCTACTGTTGAGTAACAGTGTTTTATTTTCTTTAAGCTATTTGTTGAACTCTTAGTGTAGGGTTAATCTTAATGAGGATAAAGTAAACTCCAAGTAAATCACTGTAAAAATTCAGAGAGGGAAGAGGAGAGGAAGGAGGAGGAAGGATGAGAGTATGAGATTTAGTATGCTCCTAAATCTGTATACGTGAAATGTATGAAATTTTTATACCTTAAATAAAATTTTTAAAAGTAGTAAAGTGAAAATAAGAGCTTTAAAGTCACACAGATTTTTGTTCAAGTTCAGGCTGCAGCATTAGTGATATGGGTCATCTTGGGCATGTTCCTTAAACTTTTAGGTTCTCACTTGAAACATGAAAAAGGAATATTAATATTGAATTATTTTATTTGAAGTATTAAACAACATAACATTTATAAAAGGACAAGCAGGGAAGGTGTGCCCTCAATATTTGATCCTTAACAATGAGACGTAGGTGTGAAGGACTGTAGGGCCATCTCGGAACGCCGTGCATTGCCACAGTCTGAGCTTGGGTTTCAGCCTTTCTTGTGGTAGAATCATCCTTCCTCCTCCTTCTGCATGTCTTCAAATCCTTTATCATCTGTCAAGACATGTCTCAAATATTACCTCTAAGAAGTCTTCCCAGATCTCCAGAGGGGGCATGAATGGCTATGTATCTTATGTCATACCATGCTGAGTGTGACTAGCTGGTGATGTGCTCATGTCATACCACACAATGCTCAATGTAGTCAGCTGGTAATGTGCTCATATCTTGTGCATTAAGACTATGAGCTACTTGAAGGCAAGAACTTGTTCAACATGGTCTTACCATTACATAGAACTTACCACTGTGCCAGGATTTCAATTTCTTTGCTTAATGCAGAATACAAAAAAAAAAAAAGTATTGAGTAGCTATTTTCTACTAGAAACTGTCTTTACTGATCATCATTGTGCTAGGAACACTGAAAAAGACAGGAAAAATTCTTGCTTCCTGAAGTTCAACATCCTGATGTAGGTAGACAGAAACAGGAACAAAATAAACCAAGTCTTTAATACTGTTAAAAGATGAATATTATATACAAAAAAATAAGGCAACTAAAGGGGACAAGAAATATTTGGGCCAGGATTATGCAATTTTAAGCAAAGCAATAAACAAAAGCATCATTGAGAAGGTGATATTTAAGAAGACTTAAAGAAGTGAGGGAGCAAGCAAGGTAGTCATCTTCCAGAAGAGTATTTCAGACACAGGGAAGAGCCCTGTGGACAAAACAGTCTATCCGGGATTCCAATGTTCTTGGAATGGAAAGAGTAAGTAAGTAGCAGGAGAATGGATAGGATATAGGTAGGTCAGACAGAATCTGAGCTACCACTGTCAGGAAATGTAATAATGTAGTTATTGCTCAGAATAAGATGAGAAATGGTACAAAGAACTGATATTATTTGAATTTCACTTAAAAAGATATACTTGTCCTTCCTTCGGAGCATTTCTGTAAAGAACAGATGTAAATTCCCTCAAATATCTGTGTTATGGTAGGGACAGACTAGTGATGATGTGAATTGTGTCCTCAAGGTTTCACGAGGAAATGCTGTGTTAAAGGTTTGACAAACTAGTTGCCCTTTATTGGCTTTGCCATGTTCAGAATGATACCAATTAGCTTCTTTTTCACGTGTCATATGAAGAAAATAATGCTTTCCGAGCTCACTTCAATCACACTGTCATTATAGGGTTACAGTGAAATGACAGTGTGAAAGGATCATAGAAGAAAACCAGTATGCAGATGGATTTTGATTTTCAAAAACTTGCTGGCTGCAGATATTGGTCTTATTGGAGAGGAGGGAAAGAATTGATGAAGGCAGGAAGAGTAAACAAGCATTGCAATGCAATCAGGAAGGTTTCAAAATCTCTATAGATGGCTGGGATCTAAGACAGGTACTTCCTAGCAATGTACCATATCTAATACTGATTTGACACCTGTTTTTTTTTCCTCCCCAAACATCAAAGAGTAAATTCAAAATGTACAGCTGACAGAAGAATGCAAAGGCAGACAAACTCTTACAGGGCATGTTTTTCACACATTAGAGCGTTGATTAATGTAGTTATAATCAATGTACTGTCCGGGCACAAATTACCAAGTGAGAAGCTGAAAAAGAATTGGGGGGGGGTGCTTTTTGGCAGCAAAAAGCAGTCTGCATGTCAGACAGTGAATACAGTAAATGCCCTAGGTAACATGGACAAAAGGGATATGTGATATTTGAAACTGGCACAATCCCAAGAAAATGCAGAGCATAGATTGAATTTATTGTAGGAAATTAACATGCATTTTTAAATATTTAATAGGCATTAATGCTTGGTTTATTCATCTACAGAATTAAGGGTCTCTTGTGTTGCATGCACACCTATTATGGCTAAGTAGAAACAAGAAGACAAACAAACAAAAGATGTATTGAAAACTGGAGCTGCTTTCGTGATGTCTGGGACCCAGGACTCCTGGGCACTCAATAGTCAATGCACATGACAGATTTTTGTTTAAGACTAGAGCTCTGACTTAACTGTCATTCTAGTCTACTATTTCTTTCTTGTCTTTTTGTCCACATTAGTTAATTCTAGGAGCGCCTTTCTGACTCAGCTAGATCAAATTTTATTTTTGTTGACTGAGAAAGAACCACAGTAATAACGGCTGCCAAAGACTCATTTCTGTGTAATGGGGTGGTGGCAGGCCAGGGCTGCATTAAATTGTCAAGGGCTCTTCTAGCTTTGATATTCTGCTATTCTATGAGAATAACAATGACTGTAGAACAGCAAAAACCTTAAGGAAAAAAGGTTTTTAATCTATTAGCACAGGAGAGTGGGCTCAGAAATTTTTGAAAGAGTTTCCGAAAAAGGTATGTAAACTTTTAAACTTTCAAACTTCATACATTTTCAGGAATTAAAGAGTCTGTTTTCTGGCGTCAAGTCCAAATCTTCTGTCCCTTACTGGCCTTGTTACTTTATCTGGGTTTTAGGTTTCTATTTTGAATCATTCTTTGGCTATCCCAGCTAAGAGTGACTAAGTGAATGTGTGAATGTGTGCGTGTGTGCGTGTGTGTGTGTATACCACTAAAAACTTTAAAAATGCCCAGGAAAAAAACTGCTTAACCATCAGAATCCTTCCCTATGAACTAACATATGTGACCTCAAAGAGGACACATTTATTCAGAGAGCTAGAAACAAAATTACGAAGTGGTGGTATTCAAAATGAGTTATGTTCAGTTGAAGCAAAGACTGATGCCTGAGAACTTGCTAGGAGCTGCTTTGTGGTCTCTGTCCTGGAGGGCTTGTGAAGAAGAACTGGAAAAGCAGGAGTTGGCTGCCCTTGGATTGTCCAGGAGCCAGACAGGTGTCTCCTTAGAAATACAAGCCAGAGAGGCAAGCAATTACCACCTAGAAAGGGTTTAAGACGTAAAAAATAAAGAACTCTGAACTTATTTTTCAAAACATTTATGCTTCTGCATATTTAAATGTGAAATATTTACAATGAAAGCAACTCTAACGCATACTTGAGAAAATGAATGAACAATGAACAGAAACTCAAGGTATGCAAGAGAAGAATCAGAAACAAGGATGAACAGAGAATGCATAAACACTTGGATAAAATGACCCATCAATTTCACTGCAAAATTTCACTATCAGGAGCTTCTCTTTACTTTTACTAGTTCCCTGCCTAAACAGTTCTGACTCAGCAAATCTAAGCATGAGATTTAAAATGTCCACAGTGTATTTTTCTTAATCTAATAAATGTGTATAGAAATTAAAGTATGCATAAAGTGTTTTCATGTCATTCTTTTTATAATCTTTATAGTGAAGGTTCACCAAATTTTTCATGCAATAAAGGAAATTTATACTTGAAGAAGTCAAATGACTTGACACAAAAGTATGACTTGACCCAGATGGCTTCAAGTGATACAGAACAATAGGAGCTGAAAATCTGTCTGCTGCAAATCATGACAATGTGGTTGAGCAGAGGCTAAGGATGGGCTCAGACTAATCAGGTCTTCAACTGTTAGAATTTTTTTTTTCTGGATACTGTCTGTTTTCCACCATTTTCCATCATTCTGAGATTGTGTGCCGAATCACACACAGATCACCCTCTTTCTATGCTTACTCCTTCTTCCAGGTGCTTTTCCCTCTTCTCTCTTATTCCCAAAGCACTGCCAAGGCCTTTTCATATACAACTTTATAATTTTCCCCCACAGCAGAGACAAACACTGTGCTAAGCAGTAGTCTACACTATGAACTTCTCAGCGGCCTGCTGGTGTTATTCATCTTGGAAAACCTAGCAAAACCTGGCAACTAGTAGGCACTGATGAAGTAAGCATTAAAGGAATGTGTGGAAAAGAAGCATATACACTATTAGGAAAAACATGAAATGTCTATGTCTATCCATCTTAATGTAGAAAACACCTAGAACTTTGGTCAAATTTTCTAGGCCAGAGAAACAGGTATTGCTGTAAGCCTCTTAATTCTTAAGTGATGACTTGATTTTTATTAGATGAGGCCATTATCATACAAATGCAAATGTTAAATATACTTATTCAGTGCAGTCACTGGCAATTGAAGAGATGCTTCTGATTTAACTACCCAAAGTTTAATTTTTCCCTCAGAGCTATCTTCTCTCTAGTCCAGCTTCTTTGTGGCTCTAGACTGGGCCATTCCTCCATGATCATTAGGGAATCTCTAATTGGCTGAGGAACCTATTTGAAGTAGTTGATGTACATGCAGGTGTTAGTGGCACAGCAACTGATGCACAGCTAAAAGATTTCTAGCATTAATATGTGGAAAAATCTAATTCCTCACTTACTAAAATTCATAGAGAGAAAATTAAGGCTCAGGGAGGTTAAACGACCTATTCTTGCTTACATGATCAATAAGTGGCTACGTTAGAAGCTGAGCTTACATCACCCCTATGTCTTCTGCTCTTTCTAGTCCTCCATGTTGCCTTGCCTTTTGGACTACCTCACACTCCAAACCTCTAGAGTGGTATTCCAAGCATTTAGGGCATGGATACAACAGTTACAGGTGTACCAACATCCTGAACGAAGGAAAAGTGTTAGGACATTTGCAAAAAGGGGTAGGCTCTTCCCTGAGAAAACAGGAATGGAAACATGCAAACATAAGGGAGTGTTTTCAGAAGCTTAGCTGGTTTTTGGAACTCAGGACTGTCTGGTTGAGTATGTCTTGATTCCAATGCCCAATTCTGATTTTCAACCAAAGAAGTTTATGAGACAGTGTGGGCTAAATTCCAAGGTAATATGATAATAGTTTTCTGAACTTTGATAATCATTCCCAGGTTATGAAATGGATCCAAGTAGGGAAAAGGAGCACTCCCAGATAATAGGAGAAGAGAAGGTCCATGTTTTTTTTTTTTTTTTTTTTTTTTTTTTTTTGACAGGCAGAGTGGACAGTGAGAGAGAGAGAGACAGAGAGAAAGGTCTTCCTTCGCCGTTGGTTCACCCTCCAATGGCCGCCGCGGCTGGTGCGCTGATCCGATGGCAGAAACCAGGTACTTATCCTGGTCTCCCATGCGGGTGCAGGGCCCAAGCACTTGGGCCATCCTCCATTGCACTCCCGGACCACAGCAGAGAGCTGGCCTGGAAGAGGGGCAACCGGGACAGAATCTGGCGCCCTAACCAGGACTAGAATCCGGTGTGCCGGCGCCGCAAGGCAGAGGATTAGCCTAGTGAGCCGTGGCACCGGCCTCCATGCTTCTTGAGGTACATATATGGTGTCTCAATTAAAGGGGTAGTGTTTTATTCCCATGTGTATCTCAAGGCATGGCCAAGGTTACACAGCTTTCTCACTATTCTCTGCTGCCTCTTCCTACATTGTTTTGCTTAGGTTTCCAATAGCACTATGGCTTACAGAGCACAGACTTAATGATTTCATAGCTTGTCCCATTCCTTGTCAATATGACCATGTTAACTAATCTCCCTGAGCCTTTGTTTCCTTATTTATAAAATTTAAGAATAGCAATACCTATTTCTCATGAGGATTATGAATTAAGTGCCACGTATCCAACATTAAGTTAAATGACTGAAAGAAATTATGCAATTTAGCCATTGACTGATATTAATATTCTTCAATTAGTCTATCACAGCTGTTTTTATATATTAATATCCATTCTCAGAAAAGAAATTAGTTAAGTAAAAACAGGCATTTCTGTGTACTCACAATAAACTACATATTAAAAATCTGACTGTGTGGGATACAGAAATTTTTAGTCCTTTGTCTTCAAATTAAGTTCTATAATTATACTCTTCTCCTTGAATTTTAGGGCATTCTTTCCCCTCATTTCACAGGTTAAATTTTTATAAATTAAGTTACTAGTGGGGCCGGCACCTTGGCTCACTTGGTTAATCCTCTGCCTGCGGTGCCGGCATCCCATAAGGCTGCCAGTTCTAGTCCTGGCTGCTCCTCTTCCAGTTCAGGTCTCTGCTGTGGGAAGGCAGTGGAGGATGGCCCAAGTGCTTGGGCCCCTGAACCCGCATGGGAGACCGGAAGGAAGCACATGGCTCCTGGCTTTGGATAGGCGCAGCTCCAGCCATAGTGGCCATTTGGGGGATGAACAAACAGATGAAATACCTGTCTCTCTGTCTTTCTCTGTCTATGACTCTGTCAAATAAGTAAATTTTTTTTTTTAAATTAAGTTACTAGCACAGTTGTGACAGGAACCAAGTCTCCTAACTACCAGTGTTTATTGGTGTCATTCCACAATTATTAAGTTGGTAACTTTAAGATATTAAAACTATATTCATTTAAAATTAATCTTAAAAAAAACTACAGTAAGAACGAAGCAAGAACTCAAAAATACACCTTTTTTTAATTTGCTTGAAGGTAAGCATGGGTGCTCAAAATCATTAAATAAAACCAGAAAGATCCTTTCTTTATAGTCCAATAAACTATTAATTTAGTTATAAGTTGTAAGTTAAAATCACCTTGGGTGGTCACTTTGATGAATGTTCTCCTGGATTATCCTCAAATTCCACAAACCCTCTTGAAAAGGAAAAAAATGATGAATTATGATTTAGACTCAAAAAGAGTGTCAGAATGATCACTAAGGTGTTTTATAACATTTGAGTCACAGTTTTCTTCCTAAGGTTTTCCTGTATCAGAGGGAAATAAGAGCTAAGATTTCAAATAGCCATATTTGACAAGCCACTTATGCATAATTATCTCTTTGTACCTGCCAATAAACCTATTAGTTGGGTTTATCTTCATACATTAGCTCTCAAAAGTTTGATATTTTTATATATTTGTTCAGTAAAATATCCCCAGCACCTAGAACAGTGGCTGGCACATAGTGTGAATTAATACATGTTTTTCTGAATACATTTTATTATTTTTACATTTGAAAAAAATCTGTGAGACTCAAAGAGATTAAGTCATTCACCCAAATCATACTGCTGATATTTTTACAGTGAGATTTAAAACCTAGATGTCTAGTAATTAATAAACACCTGAACCTGTATATCCTACTGATCAAGTAGTAGGTAGCATGGTAGCTGTTAAGAAGGCAAACGATGACTAAAACACAGTTCGTAATGAGACTATAATCTGTTGGAGAAAACACTTGAATACAAATATCTTAAAACAACATGGAGAAAAAGCTCTTCTAAGGATTTTTACAAACCATTATAGAATTACATAAAACTGAATTTTCTAATTTTTGGGGGGAGGAGGTCTGTGACTTCTTCACACAAGTTTCTAAAAAATGGTTGGATCTGTTAGGTTAACAGAGTAAAGATGGCCTTGCAGGATAAGCATTGCTGCAAGAGATAAAAAGTACAAGCATGGGTACTGCGGGTTACAACATGACTGTATCTGAAAAGAAAAATCATTTTTCAAGGGAGTAATCAGGTGTTGGGTTACAGGTGTGAGTGAAAGATAAACTGGCATCAGAGAAGGACCTGATGCATTTGTTCTGGTTTTATAGGCAATGAAAATTCATGAAATGGGTTTTAAGCATGGCAATGATGTAACTAAATCTGTGCCTTTGATATTGCTTAGGTAGGAGTTAAAGGACCGACTGGAGCGAGCAGAGACAGAAAACAGTGAAGCTAATCATAAATCTGAGTTTTAAAAACTCAGGAGGGAGATGATGAAGAATTTATCTACATCAACTAATACAGGAAACTGAAGAAAATAAATGGCACAGGGAAAATAATTTAGAGTACAGTATTTAGCAACTGGACAAAGATGCTGATGAATAAGTAAGATCCAAGAAGACCTTGAGGTTTCTGAATTCTGGGAGGATAGGGACGTGACTTCCTAGGACAAGAATGGCCAGGCTTTTGAGCAAGCCGATGGACTTGGGTTTAAACAGTGAACCTGAGGAACTAATAGGAAAACTAGACAGAGAGGTTTATTTATTTATTTTTTCTTAAGTAAACCATTAGCCACTTCAGTCTGGAGCTACAGAGAAAGAGTGTAACAGAGATATAAATATGAATCTGAATGTATTATAAGTCATATTTCCAATATGGAGGCTGCAATATAAAAAATGAGGCACATCTGGATGATATTGAAGAGACAAGTGCATGACAAAAGTCAAATAAACAGAATGAGGTTCTCTCCCTCAGCTTGGGAGAGGACTAAGTAAATATGTCAAGGAAATCCACTCTGCAGGGGAAGGTGGGTAAACATATTCACAAGAATTAGGTTCCCCCTCAAAGGGTAAGAAGAGTTAAGAATATGTATGTTTTTGAGAACAATGTTAAATAGAATACAGTTTGCATAGTTCTAAGGTCATGCACAAAGCAAGTGGAGGGAGCAACATGGTCTATCCACCGTCCTAAGCATACACATTTATCATTTATTTTGTGTATAATACAAGATTTAGGCAGCAGATATACTGGAATGAATAAAAAAGAATTCTTATTTTTATAAATCTCCACAATTCCTTTCATTTTTTTCTAAAAAAATCTCATTCCAGGCCCAAATTTTACCTCTCCTTTGCCATAAACACTTCCCAAACACTCTGGCCCACCTCCATTCTCTAAAAATAAACTTCTGGTATTTAGCTAACATTTAGTCTACTAGGCATTTTTAGTTATAATTGTATTTGTTCATTTCATTTACTGTAAGGACTAAAAATTCTTTAAAAAGGGATTTCATCACTAGAATTTTACTTAAAATTCCTGTCCCTACTTTGCACATATAGAGTGATTAGAAATACTTTTTGGTGGTCTCCTCCTATTCCCCATCCTCCATTATATTATGGTCTTCCCTTGAACAAGGAGTCACGGGTCCTGGAGGTTGTGATTCTACTACCAGGCAAATTTGTTATCTTGAGCAAGAGAACAAAGCTCCTTTAGCATTCTTCAAATAAGACAAAAGTGCTTTACATCTGATCTCTAGGATCTCTTTCCTAAATAAAATTGAACAGTTATTTACTGAGTTATCTGGTACTATGGGTCATGTATTGTGCTATCACAATGAAATGGAGAGATGTAGTCTCTACTTACATTTAGCTACATGAATAAGAATAAATAATTTCATATGGTAACAAATGTTATAATGACACTACAGAGGATGTGAATGGAAGGAGGCAGTATTAACAAGGATGAGCACAGAACAGTTGTCTGAGGAGGCAACTTTTAAATGAGCTGCAGGCCCAAGCACTACGCCTGAGAAAACAAAAGAATATGTCAGTCAGAAATGAGAGCAAGGGCTGAGAGCCTGAGGTTGTAAGCTCCAGCATCATCAAGACCATTTACTCAGAATACAACCAGGGAGAAGCCAAAGAGGCAAGTGGAGCTATCTTTTCTGAGCCTGGAGTGAATGGCAATTCATTAGCATGTAAGACAGGCAACTCGGAGTCAACAGAGAAAAATGAGCCATTTTATAGGTGTGAAATCCCCTGAAAGGACAAAAAAAAAAAAAAAAAAAAAACAAACCTATTATTGCTCCAAGTCCTCTCTTTACTCTGTTTTCCCTCATTTACATTAACAATCATGGGAAGGCAACAGCTGCAAAACAACCACCATAGGCAGCATTACAATAGAAAGGAAACACCACAGAGTTTCAACAATTTGTGGCAGAAGGATCACCTGGAGATTCTTAGGCAGATCCTGTATTGATTTAGGCAGAGCAAAGGTTCCAAGGAGTGAAATTGACATTTTGAGATTCCAGGATTGTTTGCAGTCCTTGTCCCTTCTGTTGAGGAACAATGTTTTTTTCCTTCTTATTTGTTGAACTCTACTTAGTATAGGGTTAATCCTATCAGTGTAAAGTAAACAAAGCAGATAATTGTAAAAATTAAGAGACAGAATAAGAGAGGAAGGGGGAAGGGTGGGAGCATGGGTGGGAGTGAGGGTAGGGTGGGAAGTGTCATCGTGTTCCATAATCCGTACATATGAAATACATAAAATTTCTTTACCTTAAATAAAAAAGACCCCTTTTGAGAATCTAATAGAAGTCATACTTTCTCAAGAAAAAAAATTTAAATTCACATCCACTAAAAGATAAACACAAATTTAAAGACTGCGTAGAACTTTAAGGTACACCAGGTAACCCGGAACAGCTGATCAAGGCTGTGGCTTTCAAGAATTTGCTGTATATCAGAGTCACCTGAGAACCCTGTTAAAAAGCACGTCCTGAACAGTGTTCTCAGGAGGATGCAAGATGAGATGGAGGAACCTGCATTTTTTATACATTTCTCCAGAGGATGCTGCTGCAGGTGAGTAGACTACACTTTGTCAAACTCTGCTTAGGACTCCCTAAAGCAAGAGGTAGAGAACACAGGCTTAGAAGGTGGAAATGGGACAATTTGTCAATTTAGAAAAGTGAATTTGATCCCGAGAAACTGAAATCTGGGAGGTTAATGTGGGGAGAACAGGATGAGGTTGTAAGGTAAGATTGGAGCTGTGCAGGCTGAACTAAGATGTGTCACGAACAGGGTGCAGGGGTTCGGAAGCAGAATGAGAGCACCAGGAAGACTAGGATAGGTGACCCCTCATTAGGGGAATCCCTCATGATCAAAACAAACACTACTGCTGATGTTATCTAGATGAGCTCTTCAGAGAGACTGTGTGTTGTCCCCAATAATCCTTCTGAATTGCTCAAGTTAAAAAATATAAACAGACTCATCAAGCAGTCATTACTGACCACATTACTACCCCCTGCCTTAACCACAAAATCACAGTGCTGGCACTGGGCGGGTCCTGTACTCCTTGAACTTATCAGAGGAGCAAACACAGGCACTCAAGGAAAGAATGTCCAAAACTCAGTGGTCAGGACCAGGACTTGGCTCTCTATCCCTGATCCAGTGGTCTTCCCCCTGTCTATTTGATTCTGAGATTACTGTTTATATGTAGTATGGAGCCATTTGAGAACCATCTATTGTGCTCACCCCAAAACAGAGGTCAGGGCAATTTATTCAGATGCAAAATCTATCTTAAGGTAGTGTGACATGTTTCCACGAAAAATACTAGAGAGGCATAGGCCACAAATTCTGTTTCACATTCATTTTAACTTAAGGTGTAAATTGCCAATAGCAAACTGGAGCCAAGCGAGGGTGGTTTCAGTGCTTACGTTTCCCTGGTCATGGAGCGCAGGATGAAGTCGACCGCATTCTCAATGATTTCTGTGCCCAAGATATTTAGGAATTTGGGAAAATCTGGTTGTGGGTTTTTGCCTGAGTCATCTGGTTTGTCGTCAGGTTTGTCATCTGAAAAACAAAACCATCTCAGAGGTGATTTTGAGTAACAAGAAAGGAAACTGCATTTTCATGCAGGGAGTCCTTACAGTAGTTTGTACACCCCCTCCCTCACTGTGCAGCCTGCTAGTTGTCTTTCTTGAACACTTGCTGCCTGCCTGGTTGGAGTTTTCATGCGCTTTATTTCATTTATTTAAATAAATCAAGAAACTGACATTGGTACTTAGGCATTTGGCTCCATTTTGCGGATGAGAACATTAAAAGGTCACAGAGGCTAGGTAAGTTTCTGCCAGAGGAAAGCACCAGCTTAACTAACCCTGTGCCAGGACTGATACGGAAAGCCCGGGTTTTTCACGGCGGCTTCTCCGTGTCATCCCATACCCCTGGGGTAATGATAACAAAGACGAAATATCCATGAAGAGCATTTGTTTAGCACACACCTGTGGCAATCTTTGTGAACTGTTTTGTTTCACCCTTACAACAACTATATGAAGCAAGCAAAATTATGATCCCAATTTAAGGATAAAGAAATGGAATCGGAGAGAGAAGCTGGCTTTTAAAATCAGTTACCGCTGCCACATCCCCCGTGGCTGCCCCCAGTTCGAGCCCCACCAGCCCCGTCTGCCAGGGTCCATCCATCCGTTCGGAAGCTTCAGCAGCGTTAGTTCCACAAACCGCCCTTCAAAGTCGCGGCCTCAGGCCTGGTGCGTGAGGACACAAGGGGCCGACAGCCTGGAGAGCGCGGGGCGCCGCCGTGCCTGGTGCGCACGCGCGGGGCGTAGCCGGCCTCCCAGCCGCCAAAGGGCGCCTGCGTCGCTCCGCGCTTGCGGGAGTCCGCCCTGGGTTCTGAGGTGCGGTGGTTTCGCCGCTTTACCCTCTTATGCAAGCACGGCCGAGTAGGGGCTGCCGTCGCCAAGACCAGCGTCCCTGTGTAAGGGCGAAACGGACGAGGAGCTCCGGTGTTGCAGTCCGCGAGCACCGGGTTACAGGACAGGGCAAGGCCTAGGAATTCTGCGGGCAATGGCGGTGGCCTCACCAGCTTCATCTGCCGCTCCCAGGCATCTAAGGCATTTGTGAGGAGACTGCGGCAGGGGTCCACATGTAGTGCAAGATGATGCCCGGCAGGAGCCTGCAGGTGCCCGCCATCCACGTCCACCACTCAGCCATCAACAGCAACTTTCTCAGTAGCAGGCGGGCCTCAGGTGGCGGTGGGAGAGGGTTAGGGGGACAGGCGCAGACTTGGGGTACTCAGAGCCTCCGGGGGTTCAGGCTCACTGGAGGTCATGGAGATGGACCCCAGCGACTCAGTGCAGGCTGTCATGTCAAGGAGCCAACCGCAGGGCAGCTCGGGGGCCTTGGAACTCCTCGCTTCTGCTGGAATTTGGCGGACGTGATACACCTGTGTTATCTCGGCCTGGCCCGGCTTGTGGACTCAGGCCTTTGCGCGTGGTTTCTGGGCCCGTGACAGAAGACAATGAAGGGCCAGGAGGAGCTGGTGATAGAAGGTTCCTGGGAACCTGGCCAGGTGCCGGGCCCTTCTCTCCAACCCCAGAGGTAGCAGGCTGGTAATTTTAGTTCCTGCTCTAGGAGGGGTGGGGGTGGGGGGGTGTTAAGCTAGACTGTTAAGAGAAAGCCAGGAAGGAACAGAACTGACAGCCAGAGTTGAGAGGTGCTAGGGAAACATAAAAACAGATCTGCCACCACTTTGTGACATGATGGTTCCAATCACAACTGGGTCAAAACGAGATTAATTTAGTGTATAATGTTTATATAATGTTCAGAATATTAGAAGAAGCCAGGAATATGGGTAAATAAAAACTGGTGCCAAATTAAAAACACTAAAATCCCAGTTAGTTACAAAGATACTTCAAAGCTGTGTCTTATATTAAAAATTGAATTTTAAGCAGTCTTTGAGTCTTTGACAGAAAAGTTATATCATTTGCATTTCCATTTTAAAATTGAAATTAGTACATTTTAATATATAGCAGTATCTATATATTGTGCATGATACATAATTATGATAACAAAGAAATTCTATAACATGTCACCTAATAATTTTGCAAGTAATGATTTTTTTAAAGATTTATTTATTTATTTGGAAGAGTTAAACAGAGAAGGAGAGGCAGACACAGAAAGGTCTTCCATCCGCCGGTTCACTCCCCAGTTGGCTGCAACAGCTGAAGCTGTCCCGATCCTAAGCTAAGTGCCAGGAGCTTTTTCCAGGTCTCCCACATGGGTGCAGGGGCCCACGGTCTCGGGCCATCTTCTAGTGCTTTCCCATAGCAGAGAGCTGGATCGAGAGTGGAGCAGCCAGGTCTCGAACTGGCACCCATTTGGGATGCCAGCACTGCAGGCAGCGACCCAACTCTGTACGTCACAGCCCCAGCCCCAGAAGTAATGATTTTGCAAATGTGCAATTTTACCCCTGACCACTGTTGGGGTATGCACTTTTTAGCTCACTGGACTGAGAAACTGAAAATATTTAAGTGACTTGCTGAAGACCTCATCAAGAACTAGAGAAGATGCGTTTATAAACAGTAGGCCTCTTACGCTGAAATCTTAATCAGTTAATTAAGAATGAGGGCCCAGAATCCAGAGAGTGAGATTGGTTACATGCAAGTTCCCCTGAAATGTTTTGACTTTGTTTAATGGTCTTTATTTTCAGGAAAGGAAAAGGATGAAACAGTGACAGCAGCTACATGTGGCCTCCACTCTGGACCCTGGTGATAGGATCAAGTAGGGCACACATCTTTTAATTAAAATGTAGCCTGACAAATAGTGATATTGAATTTGGTAAACAAAAATATAGGCTGCTCAGTTAAATTTAAATTTCTAATCAATAACAAATCCTTTTGTAGTAAAAGAACGATCCTTGAAATACTTAGGATTTACTTACACTAAAAGATTATCCATCATTTCCCTGAAAGTTATCTGGCTGTCTCATTTTATCTTGCAACCTCACCATGAGTTCTGACAAGAAATTTTGTCTCTTAGATAATGTGCCCCATGACTTTCGAGGAGGAATATTCAGCTAGCTTTTGTGTGGGATGATCAAATTATACCGGAAGCCTTGCATCTGTATTACATCCTAAAACAGAAACTATCAGTAAAAATATTAGCATTCTGTTTTGCAAGCATTTGTTCACTATGCCACAATCAAGGGTTTGATAGGAGCATATTCTGGAATCTATAACCAGAACCAATACATTAATTATTACTATGTCATCAATCATTACTATACTGATGAAAGATTAATTTAGTGCTTAGTGTTATGTGTATGTCTATGCTAAGAGTTAAGATTTAAAAAAAATATAGACAAGACCCTTAAATACATTGTAGAGTAACCACAGTACCCAGAATTAGTTTGTTTTTGTCATACCAGGAAGGAAACAGAACCTGTGTTTGTGGGATACCTACTGTGCAAGAACTGGGCTAGAGCTTTCATTACGTGCCTTAATCATTCAGCTCATATATGGTATCACAGTTTTGTAGGAGAAATCAGAGATGCTTAGAGAAATAAAATGACTCATCTAAAATCACTTATTTAGAAAGGGGCTGAGCTAGGAGTTATACATGGATTTGTTTTAACTCCACAGAGCGTGTTGTTCACGTTATATAATACTACCTCAGAGCAACTGTCCTCTCAAGACGTTTACCAAGTGCTAAACTATTAATTCCTTATATGGTAGATAATTTCTTGTCTTCTCTGTTTCCATCTACCTTTTCTCCTAGCAGTGTTTAGCTATCTTTCTCATGTAAATACCACTTATCATATTACCAGGCCTAAAGTATACTCACAATGAATGTTTATGTATTATTGCTGTTATTAATACTGCTTTATAATTCACTTTTTCCTTGAGTACTGTAGGAGATTATGAAAAAAAAAAAGTTGGGCATTCGGTACAGTGCTTAGGACGCTGCTTAGGATGCCCCAAGGAATTCCTGAGGTTGGGTGCCATCTCCACTTCTGATAGGAGCTTCCTGCTAATGTGCATCCAGTGAGGCAGCAGATAATGGCCCAGATACTTGGATCCCTGCCTTCCCATGTGGGAAACCTGGGCTGAGTTCTAGGCTCTTGGCTTTTGGCATAGCCCCATCCCACTATTGTGGGCATTTGGGAAGTAAATCAGAGGGTAAAAGATTCTCTCTTTATCTCCCTGTCACTCTGCATTTCAAAATAAAATAATTAATAAAGCTAACATTTTAAAAAATTGGGTTTTCAAATGTAATATGGAATACCCTTTACTTCTGCAGTTTGAGTTTCTTAGTCAATGAGATTGTAAAATTCTGAACAGAATATGGTGGATGTTTGTGCAGTTTTTGTAGTTTATAAAGTGATTATAAAAGCATGTTCATTTGACCTGGTAAAGTTGATAAATGCAAATGAAGAAACTGATATTCCAAGTAGCTTATTGATTAGCCACATTTTCAGAGTTCATGAGAGAACAGGGATTGGTCTTCAGAAAAAAAATCTCACCTTTCACTTCACTGTGGTGTTACTTTAGGAATAAAGTAAACACAATAATTGTGATCATCTCTCTAGAATGATTCTGATGGAGTGCTAGCCTTTATGTTATGTCAGCAGACAGTGAGTAGCCCAAGGATATGAGTTCTACCAAGTTAGGTTCAAAGGACTCTATTATTAAATTTTTGTGCTACTTGTGTTTTCTGACCCATCATTTAAAATAGAATTAAGAGCACACAGTCTTCTGCAGACAAAAACAAACAAAAGTTACCTGCTACCTTGTAGCCTTCTAGACGCTTGAACAAATATGAAAGAATAAATGCTTTAGCTATACTAAAAAGAATTTAGGAACACTTCTACCTCGGTCTATGTTCATGTCACTTTTGCTATGTAACCTCAGTTAATTAACCTGTAAAAAGGTAAGTGATAATACTATGTATGTTTACTAATAGGATTACCATGAGAATCTATGAGATTATACTGATTAACAATAACAGTTACTATTTCTGGGTACTTACTATCAACCAGCTACTATTCCAACTTGCCTCTTATATTTAATTTTCATAACTTTCTAAGAAAGTTAATTATTAATGTGTTTGTTTACATGTGAGGCACAAAGAAATTAAATAGCATGTCTGAAGTCACGTTTCTAGTTAGTGATGCAGTAAGGCATAGGAGTCTTATTCTAGAGTATATATTCTTCACAATTGAACATTATTAGTTATAGTCATCAAAAAGTAAATGGCCCACAGCTCTCAAGGAACTAGTAACATGATAGTGTCACTATATCATATGAAAAATATATATATATATTACAAGCTTTCTGTATTCACAGAGGATAAAGAACTGAAACAAATTCTAATGAAAATCTTAATCCCAGTGTTTTTTCTGTGGTACCCCAATGCCCCTCCTCCTTCCATGTTCTGGATCAGTGTCAACTTCTTCCCATCTCTGCTAACTACTGTACAACTCATGTACTGTGATCGGAAGCACTTACCTGCATAACAGGTCAGGATTAAGGCAGAGAGTGCCAGGACAATTGTCAGCCGAAGTACTGAGACCGCCATTCTTGTAGCACTGGGTATTGATGCAGATAAAAGCTTCAGCTGTACCTGGAGCTTTGCTCCATTTATAAGCATATATAGGTGACATCATCTGCTGTGGAATTTACGTTGTTGCACAAGATGTCAGCACACCTTGCTCTTGGATCTCTACTAATGATCCCTGTGTTGTCTTTTAAAGCAAGTTTTTCACATAGCAAAGAAAAATGCTCTTGGCTTTCCATTGTGTTTTCATATTTAAAAAAGGCATTGGGATAAGAGTTGTGGAGGTAGCTCCGTTGCTAGCATTGATAATGGGTTGTGTATCTGGCAAAATTACCATTCAGTGCCAAGGAGCAGGCAACAAATCAGGTTGGCAAGTTGTGCCTACTCCCATCTCTGCGCCTTTGGCTTCTTTCCTCATGCTCTGAGTCTCTTATCTCCACATGGGCATGTCCTTTCAAACACCCTTGCCTTCTCATGCTTTATGTTCTTGTGATAGCTTCTCCACCTTCTCCCCTGGGAGCATTCTTACTTACTGTCAGGCTCATGTACAAATACCCCTTCTCTGCAAAACCTTAATGATAACCATTCTGCTCTATTCCAGATAATTTTTCCTTCATCTTCTGCCCTATAGGACCCTTGACCCAAATGTTTGAGAACTAAGTAGTTTAACAGCTCTCTTCTCCTTCAGCACACGAGTCTATTTATTTGCTTATCTAATGACAAAAACATATATCATTATGTTGTACGACATGTTTTGAAATATATATTGTAAATGACTAAAGCTAATTAATACTCAAATTATTTCACATAATTTATTTGTAGTGAGAATATGTAAAATCTTCTTAATCGTTTTAAAGTATACAATACATTTTTATTAACCTTAGTGCCATCTTGCACAAGTAATCTCTTGAATTTATACCTCTTGTCTAACTGAAATGTTATATCATTTAACCATCATCTTCCCAGTTTCCACCACCACCAGCAGTTCCCAGAAACCACCAACTACTCTACAGAGGCTTCTATGAATTTGATATTTTTAAATTGCACATGTAAGTGAGATCATGTATTACTTGTCTTTCTGTCCTCTGGGATCATCCAAGTTGTCACAAATGATTGTTTCTCCTTCTTAAGGCTGAATAATACTATATCGTGTTGTATAGAACATATTTTCTTTACTTATCTGTTGATGGATATGTAGGCTGATTCCCAGTGTCTTGGTCTCTTAAAGGAAGCACATTTTATTACTTTTTGAATCTTTAAGGAGCCTACTATACTACTTGGTACTGATCTCAACTTTACTTTCTAGGAAATTTGTTCTTATTCTTCCAGGAAGAGATGAAGATTTTCTGATGAGCCTGATGGGTGCTTATTTTAAATGTCTCCACCCTTACATTGTAGGCTTCTAGAGGATAACATATTTTTCAGAATTGAATACATATCACATATTACCTGTGGCATATAGCAAATTTAAAAGAAAAAGTACAGAAAAGGGTGGAAGGAAAGGAAAGAAAGAAAATCATTTGAGAGTTGAATCTGGCCTCTGTCCCACAGTGTAAGACCCCATTGAAGTAGTCCCAATACTTAACACATAGTCTCCCTTAAATAAAGTCTGCCTTACCATCTTAAATATTTTTTCATGCCTTTTTTTTTAACTGGACTATATCATTTGTACTTGATGAAATGGAATGTTAGGTTTCAGATGCTGCCATGTACCTCAGGTGTAAAATACTACTTTTTGATGCAAACACTCAAGAGGGTCAGATTTGACTCAAGTGTAGATGGCATTAATTATCCTGAAGATTGCTGTAAACTCGGCTCACTTGCATGACGACATGGTTGTAAACATAGTAAATTTGTAATTGACTAAAATTTACAATTTGCATCAGAGGGCCATTTTAAAACTAGGAAAATAACTGAGGCCTGAGAAGGAAACTTGTAGCCTAATGTCTTAGAGCTGAACTAAGACAAGTATCAAACCGTTTCTTGAAAGCAGGCAGTTCTGCTTGTACCCAGAATGGAGTTTCCTCCCGAGGCCTCTCCAGTATTTCTTCTCAAGAAGATCCTGGCCCTATCTTTCCTATACAAAACATTGTGATTTAGAGGTGGTCTTCCACTTTAGAAAACTATTTTATTTCTGTCATTAGGGCCACTATGTGACTCAGCACTGTGCTTGCCCAATGGGCTAGTTGGTAAATATCATCTACATGCCCTCTCTTAGCCATGGACTGGATTCTGATGTGTAGCTCTGTCTGCATGGGCAAAGTTAATGTCTGATGACATTCTAGAAGGGAGCATAATTTTCTAATTCATTATAATAACACTGTACAGTCAAGTGAAGGCAATGTATTTTAAACTTAAGATAGAAATATGTTGGCTTTTAGGAGATACCAACTGGATAGTGCATGTAGACAAACCCTAAATAAGCTACCTTTAGTGGTTTGATGTCAAGGAAATAGAACTGTCCCAGAATGTCTGGCTTCACATCCTGTCAGTACAATTAATTCATTGTATGGCCCTGATCAAATACCCTGAAGGCCCTTGGCCTTCTTTTTCTCTGCTTCCTGTGTTCTTACCCCTTCTGGTTTCTTGATTCCTCCTAGTTTCATGTTTTAGCTAAAATACCCCTTTTTTGATGAAAACATCTATGATCCTCTATTCTAGCAAAGGTCCCACTGTTATAATCTTTTATGCCATCTCTATTCTTTCTTCTGAGCACTTAAATATTTTAATTGTTTGAGAGGGAAAGAAAGAGACAAAATGTACTCCCATCTACTGGTTCACTCCCCAAATGCCTGCAACAGCCATGACTGGGCTAGACTAAACCTGAGAGCCAGGAGCTCAATCCAGGTTTCCCATGTGAATAGCCAGAACTCAATTACTTGAGCCATTATCTAATACCTCCTAGTGTCTAAATTAGTGGGAAACTGGAGTCAGGAGCTGGAGCCAGGAATTGAACCTAGATATTACAGTATGAAATGCAAACATCTTAACTGCTAAGCTGAATATCTACTCTTAAGTATTTTTTGATTGATGATTTAATACTTCTTTCCAAAGAGATATTAAAATCAAGGAGGAAAGGGTCCTCATCTATTTAGTTCATGGAGAGCTCCCATGTCTATTGTACATAGAAGATACCCAATACACATTAACTAAGTAAATGAATACATTTCCAAAGAGACACCTTGAGTCATATAACATTTCTGTAAGTTACGATTTGTGTGGTGCTGGCAAATGCTGCTACTACTCTGAGTCTCAATGTCTTCATCTGTAAAACTTGGAAATAATAATTTTCTGCCAATTTATCTACACTGTTTTAAAGACATAGGAGGGGCTGGATGGGCAAGGCGGGTAAAGCAGTCACCTGCGACACCAGCATTCCATATGGGTGCTGGTTTGAGTCATGGCTTCTCCATTTCTGATCCAGCTCTATGTTAATGCCCTGGGAAAGCAGCAGAGGATGACCCAAGTCCTTGGGCCCCTGCACTCCAGGGGGAGACCTGGAAGAAGCTCCTGGCTCCTGGCTTTGACATGGCCCAGTTCTGCCCATTGCAACTATTTGAGGAGTAAACCTGCGAATGGAGGATCTCTCTTTCTCTCTCTCTTTCTCTATCTCTGTCTCCATCTACCTCCCTCTCTCTCTATAAACTCTGTCTTTAATCTTTAAAAAATAAAGTATATTACAGATAAAATGCCTGACAAACTATAAAAATTGTTTACTGTGTGCCATATTTGTAGCAGCCAAGAAGCTGCAGCATATCCTCTACTGATCTAAACAAAAGAGTTTGACTTTACATAGAGGAGAAACTGAGATTATTGAAGAGTGTTTTATCCAAGCTGAGAAAAGGAAGATGGTGAGGCCTTTCTTCCAGAACACTATTCCAGCTTGGTCGGAAGGTGTGGGAATGAAAGGAATCAGGAGTGCCTAAAGGCCTCAGAACTTTTCCATGCTTGGTGGAAAACTATTAGGTTTTTTGTTTGTTCGGAGCAAGAAAGAATTGCAGTTTGGATTGGCAGTCACATGGAGAGATTTTAGTGGATATGTTAGTATAGTGGTTAAAAGTACAAGCTTTTGGATCAGAACTGAGTTTGAGTTTGAGATTTGCCACTAACAAGCTGTGTGACTCTGTGACCTTAAATTTTTTCTGAGTTTCTCTGTACCTTGGATCCAAAGTCTGTAAAATAGGACATAAAGATACCTCTTGAGTTTATTAGTAGGATTGGATGAAAAAAAAAATGTAGTCAGCACAGTGTCTTGAACACATTAAAGGAAAAATAAATGACACACTTGTTATTCTACTTCTATTGTATTCTGTTTAGTCCTGTACTGCCTTGTCGTCTCTAAGGAGGGAGTGACACTTAACCATTCAAGCAGTGTTAGGACTAATAATAGGCTGCTTATTCTGGCCTGGTACCAAACTAAATACAACATATCAACAAAGCTATTGGGAAGCTACCATTATCCCCATTTTGTATAAAGAAATTCAAGTTTGGAGAAGTTATTTGCCCAGCATTACAAGTCATAAATGAGCTAGAGTAGGTAGGCAGATCCAAGAACATGTGACTGCTTTATTCCTCCTCTTAAGTATTACGTTATGCTGCATTGGCACACACTGGGCAATTGCTACTGGCAAAAAGCCTAGGCCAAGCAAGGAACACTGCAATCACCGGTCTGTCCACAGATTTATCTGTGTATGTCCTGTTTTTCTTCATTGCCCTCTAAATGAAGTTCTGGTCCATCTAATTCATTATATATTAGCTCAGTGTGATGTATCAAACACGCAGGGAACACAGTGCCTTTGACTTTGTGGCAGAAAGTTAGAGTTAAGGATGCAGGATAAAATGCATGGTATCCAATTAAATTTGAGTTTCAGATAAATAATGAATAGTTCTTAATTATAAGCATATCCCAGATACTTCACAGGACATGTTTAAAACATCATTTTTAAAATGGAAATACTAGGCTTTTTTTTCCCCTGCGTTTTTGTTTGCTGTATCTGGCAACCCTACCTGGAGAAGCCCTTATAACTGTTTGCTTACAGAAAACTTCAGATCATGTAGTGGAATATGGGACTGAGAATGAGTCAAATAAATGACTAGAGAATAATGTATGAGAAGTTCAACTCATATGTCCAAATTGGAAATTATTAAAGGACCCTAATTCCTCTTTAACCTCATATCTGTGGTCTATTTTTCTCACAGAAGTTTCATAAGAAAATCATTTGCCCCTCTTTTTCCAAAAGCTTCAGAACTACCCTGGAAGGGATGCATTTGGCTTCAGGCAAGGCTGCCCTTCCCATGGTGTCTACATGC